GAAAGAGAGAAAAAACCAAACCAAAACAAGGTTCATGCTTTTTTTTAAAAATGAGCTGGGGAGGAGGGGGAAGGGGAGGAATAAAGCCGAAAAACAATAAATCAAAGGAAGTGGAAGATCCAAAAGGGGAAACCTTCTTCTTATGCAGACAGAGGGTCCCCTGTGCTACATTTTACAGATGGGAAACTGAGGCACAGGGTAGCTCAAGTGATTTGCCCAAGGTCACACACGGAATCTGTAGCAGAGCTGAGTACAGAACCGAGATCTCTGTGCTGGCCCCACTCCCAGGGCCATCATGGTTCCGTCTCGGCTGAATGCGTCGCAGGGCTGGGGCTGTGCTCAAAGCAGGGAGCTGTAGAGTAAAGGGTCTTTGTAGCACCTTGAGGGGGCCACTTAGGGATCTGGGGCAAAATCAGTACTCGGTCCCGCTAGTGAAGGCAGGGGGCTGGACTCGATGACCTTTCGGGGTCCCTTCCAGTTCTAGGAGATAGGTACCCCGAGCCTAGATTCCTAGATTTCAAGGCCAGACGGGACCATTGTGATCACCTCGTCTGACCGCCCAGGAGCGGCGTCAGGGTTTTTAGCGCCCTAGGAGGGGGTCCTTCCGCACTCCCGGTCTTCAGGGCACTTCGATGGCGGGTCCCGGAGCGAGTGAAGGACCTGCCGCAGAATTGCCACCGAAGACCCAGAGCGCGGAAGGACCCCCCCGCGCCGAACTGCTGCCCCCCCAAATCCTGGTGCCCTAGGCAAGCGCCTAGGTCGCCGAAATGGAAGCGCCGGCCCTATGACCGCCCCTATAACAAAGGCCAGAGAACGGCCCTCAAGTAAAGCCTGGAGCAGAGCTTTTAGAAAAACATCCCGTCCTGATTGAAAAATGGTCAGTGAAGGAAAATCCACCACGACCCTTAGTAACCCAGCCCAATGGTTAATTGCAGACACTGGTCGAAATGCCCACGCCTTAGTTCTAGTCTGAATTTGTCGAGCTTCACCTTCCAGCCACTGGGCCGCAGGACACATTTCTCTGCAAGGCTGACAAGCCTGCTAGCAGATATCTGTTCCCCCGGTAGGTACTTACCGACTGAGATCACTTTCTGGAGCTCCTTGAGTCTGTCACTATCACAGACCAGAAGAAGAGCTCTGGGTAGGGCGACCAGATGGCAAGCGTGAAAAACTGGAGCACTTTTCTTTTGGCAGGGGGTCTAGCTGTGTATATAAGACAAAGCCCCTAATATGAGGACGGTCCCAATAACCCCAGGGCGTCTGGTTACCCTAGCTCTGTGTGGTACGAAAGCTCGTCTCTTTGGCCAACAGAAGTTGGTCCAATACAAGATAATACCTTGCCCACCTTGTCCCCTCTATCTCCCTAGGGCAGGTTTTCTAATCCAGGGGCTCTCAACCCTTCCAGACGACTGGACCCCTTTCAGGAGTCAGACGTGTCTTGTGTACCCCAAGTTTCACCTCCCTTAAAAACGACTTGCTTACAAAATCGGACATAAAACTACAAATGTGACCCAGCACCCCAGTCCTGACAAATTGCCGACTTTCTCATTTTGTCTGGGTGAAATTTGAGTTTGTACTGACTTTGCTAGTGCTTTTTACGTAGCCTGTTGTAAAACTAGGCCAATATCTAGATGAGTTGATGTACCCCCGGAAGACCTCTGTGTGCCCCCAGGGGTACATAAGAACGGCCCTGTGATGAAGTGGGAATGTTCTTAATGTTTTCTCCAAATACTGTGTGTGTGCGCCTCAGTTTCCCCATGCCGTTCTTAAGTATCCAGGTGGTGGGATAAGGGGGTGTGATTGTTGCAGAGCCCTAGGCAGGTGTGATGCTGTCTGCACAGAGAATGAGCCCTGCTTCCTGGCAACTGATGGCCTGGGCCCCTCCCCTGCAAAGGTGCCAACTGAAGGTGTTGGAGAACAAAGAGATCAGGTGACCTCCTGGCCCGGGAAAGAGACAAAGGCCAGAGGAGGGGCTGGAGGGGAGGGGGGGGGTCAGTTGAGATCTGGCTGGGGAAATGGAGGGAGGCCCAGAACCGGGGTCTGGGCTCCCTACCCCCCCAAGATGGACCTGACTGAGAGGTCGTTCTCTGTACTTACAAGCTCTGTTTTAGACCCTGTTCCTGTCGTCTAATAAACCTCCTGTTTTACTGGCTGGCTGAGAGTCCCGTCTGACTGCGGAGTTGGGGGGCAGGACCTCTGGCTGCCCCAGGACCCCGCCCGGGCGGACTCGCTGGGGGAAGCGCACGGAGGGGCAGAGGATGCTGAATGCTCCAAGGTCAGACCCACGAAGGTGGAAGTTGTGGAGCCAGTCTGCTCCGAGAGAGGAGACTCCCCAGAGTCCTGCCTGGCTTCGTAGGGAGCAGTTCCAGAGCATCGCCCGGGGACTCCCTGACAGGCCCTACTGGGTCAGACCAAAGGTCCATCTAGCCCAGTATCCTGTCTTCCGACAGGGGCCAATGCCAGGTGCCCCAGAGGGAATGAACAGAACAGGGAATCATCAAGTGATCCATCCCCCGTCGCCCATTCCCAGCTTCTGGCAAACAATAACCCCAGTTGAGAACTGCTCCTCCGATCCTTTATCGTTCTCCTGCTGCTTCGCTGGCCCCTCTCCAACTTCTCAATATCCTCTTGAATTGTAGACTCCAGAGCAGGACCCAGGATTCCAGCCGCGGCTGCACCAGTGCCGAACTCAGACGTAATTTATCCTCCCTGCGCCTACTTCTGCATCCAAGGATCGCACGAGCCCTTCTGGACACAGCCTCACCCCGTACCAGGGCGACTTGCCCCTTACGGGCGGGCGGATCTGGGGCTAGCTGAACTACTGAGGCACCCCTGGGCTGGATCGGGTGATTCCTATGAAGGGCAGTAGGTGGCTGGAGCGCAGGGCAGGAAGAAGATGGGTAGAAGACCCTGACACCGGGGGGTTGGACCCCTAGGCCAGGAATCTGGCTCCAGCCAAAGCAGGAGGGCCTTGGGCAGGGTGAATTGGAGACTGCCGGGCGTGGGCACACTCCAGCCGAAAGGTCTGAGCTCTGGGGTTCCCCTCGTGAGGCCGCAGGCAGGGAAAGCGTGGGAGGACCCGAGGGGAGGCTCACACCAGGGGGGCCGTCCTGGGACTCTGCGGTTCCTTCCGGAGCAAAGGGCTGGGGGGCGTGCGAGGCAGTCCCTGGTGGAGTTTGGAAGGAACTAACAGGGCACTGCAGAGCCACCCCTGGCCATGAGGGGGGGCTCTGGACGCAGAGGACCCCACTTTCGGCTGTATTGAAATGCACTTGTGCCCAGTAACCCAGCTTGCTCCGTGTCTCTGGCCTGTCCTCTTCGCCCCCCTGCTCCCCTGTCTCTGGGCCCTCTGCAAGCTGCCAGGGAGGAGTGACTGTTTCCTCCCGGGTCATTAATGAACTAGCACAGGGCCAGGAGCCCACTGGAAACACCCCGTCACCGCTGGCTCCCTGTTTACACCGACAGCGGGCGACCCGAGTCACGGGGGACGGGGATCATTTGTTTTCTTCCGTTAGTGGCCCAGACAAGCTTCTGTGCTCCCCTGAGCGCCTCCTGAGGTCTGGGGAAGGGAACCAGAGCCTCCCAGCGAAATACTGGGCCAAGCTGGGCCAGGCCGTCCCGGGCGTGAGCCCCGTCTGCCTGATCTGGCCCACCTTGTATTTCGCTCGCCTGCTCTGGTTCCCTTCCCCGCCCTAGAGAAGAGCTCGGGGAAGCCCGAAGCTTGTCCACGTCAGCAGGGCTCCGCTAAAAGACATTCCCTTCCCCCCCTTGTCTCTCGAATACCCTGGCACCAACGTGGCTACCCCATGGCGAGCAGGGCGAGCCCTAGCACTTAGCCAGTTTTTAATCCATGTAAGCCACCAGCACAGATCAGAGCAGCCCCAAGGCCTGCCCCAAGTGATAACCAGCAGTCTGGGCCCCCACAAGCCCGAGGAAGGCCCCACAGACCTGCCGTAGGGGGTGGGGTAGAGCTGGATGCATGGGGTATTGCCCTTTGCGCCGAACTAGCCAGTATACAGCCCCCTGAGTTTCTGGGGCACCGGTCTCCTATCTTACGAGCGCTTTGTTTAGAGCAGCAGCAGATGGCTCAGCCGTGCCTCCCCTGAGGCCTCTGAGCTGACACCCCTAGGGGGCGCTGCGTGTGCCTGGGAGCAGGGGCCATCGGGGAGCCCGGGGCGTGGCCCCAGAGTGGGGAAAGGCCCCGTTTCTCGCACTGGCTCGTGACCGACAGTCTCCAAACACTTTGGAGGCCAGTGGCAGCTGCGTGATGGGGAACTGGCAAGCAGCCCTGCCTGTCCACACTGCCCCACGGGTTAAATGATCCTGAAAGAGAACCGCAAAACCAACTGGTCACCCAGCCAAGCAGTGATGGGCGGCCACTGCTGGGCCGGGGCCTGGCAGCTGCTCAAAGGCACACAGCAACGCTGCCTAGCCGTTCAGGACAGGAAGCGACGGGGAATCTTGTTTCAAGGGGATGGAAGGAGCGAGAATGGAATTGCCTGAGTTGGAATTTGGCCAAGACATTGGGATTAACTGTCTGTCTGTCTGTCGAATGAGCCCATCGCCAGCCACGGCACCGTCTAATTTCCAGGCGAGTCAGAACACTATGGAAGGCAAGACATGTGAAAGGCCATTTGCTCAGGGAAGGCCCCGGCCAATACACCAGTGTAAATATCCAGGTTTGGGAACAAGCGCACCCACGGCATGCCAGTAAAGTGACCAGGAAGCAAAGGAAACCGTTTTATCCCCAGCACGGGCAATAATTAACCTGTGGAACTCACTGCTGGGCGGGGGGGGGGTTACCTTGAAGCCTCTGGATCTGTTTGGTGAAGATCTCAGCCTGCCGGGCGCTGGCCAGTCGCTCGTCCTCCAACAAGCCTGCAGCAGAGAGGGCAAGGTCAGCAGAGAGCGCGCAGAGGCCCTGCTCCTCCACTCACCCTCCCATGCTGATCAGAGGGACGGGGCCCCCAGGGCCTCAGCTGGGCCACGGTGCACAGGGTGGGACGTCCCTGGGGGACATGAGTCCAGCTGAGCACTCCACAGGGGAGAGGGAGAATCACCCCCAGCCACCCTGCAAGCGAGAGTCTGGAGAGAAGCAGAAGGGACATGGGAAGGACAAGGACAGCTGGATCTCTGGGCCCCTTGCTGGCGGGGCTGGGAGTCCTGCGTGGACCCCAGCCCGCCGAAGGGAATGGGAAAGCACATGGCACCGAGGGGCCGTGCATAGGAACCTGTGCAAGCACAAGCCCCCCGTGCCCCACAGTGCTCACGAGAGATCACAAGATCCCCTGGCGCCCCATGCATGGGGACTTGAGAGAACATGACAGAGACCTGGTGAGGCCACACCTGGAGTATTGCGTCCAGTTTTGGGCCCCCCACTATAGAAGGGATGTGGACATATTGGAGAAAGTCCAGCGGAGGGCAACGAAAATGATTAGGGGTCTGGAGCACATGACTTGTGAGGCGAGGCTGAGGGAACTGGGCTTGTTTAGTCTGCAGAAGAGAAGAATGAGGGGGGATTTGATAGCAGCCTTCAACTACCTGAAAGGGGGTTCCAAAGAGGATGGAGCTCGGCTGTTCTCAGTGGTGGCAGATGACAGAACAAGAAGCAATGGTCTCAAGTTGCAGTGGGGGAGGTTTAGGTTGGATATTAGGAAACACTATTTCACTAGGAGGGTGGTGAAGCACTGGAATGGGTTCCCTAGGGAGGTGGTGGAATCTCCATCCTTAGAGGTTTTCAAGGTCAGGCTTGACAAAGCCCTGGCTGGGATGATTTAGTTGGGGTTGGTGCTGCTTTGAGCAGGGGGTTGGACTAGATACCTCCTGAGGTCTATATGATTCTGTGAACATGCACCGTGCCACGGCCCGTGCCAGGAGTTCACGAGAGCTGATGCCCTGTGCACACAAGTCACCTTCCTGTGCTCTCCTGCTCACACGACTCCGCATGGCCCCGAGCCAGCGCGTGCCGCCCTTACCCTGTAGCTCCAGCGAATCGTCCTCGTGCTTCACTGCCAGCTCCCGCGCCTCCTCCAGCTCCTCCAGGAGCTGCAACAACTGGGCCCTCAGGTCTTCCATCTCCTGGTCCGTCAGGTCCAGCTCTTTCTCGTCCTCTTCCATGGAGCCCAGGTTCCCCACATCCTCCTCCTCTTCTTCCTCCGGGTCCGGGGCATCCACGTCACCTGGCAAGGAACGCTGCATGAGCCACCTGCCGCTGGCCTCCAGCCCCTCGCAATGCACTCGCTGCTTGTCCCCCGGGCCACGGCTTGCACCAGTGCCCTCTGCACCAGGGAGCCAGGCCCCCCCCGGCCATGCCAGCCTGAGCCCTCGGCAGAGACAAACCTCTGAGTCGTTGCAGTGCGGAGGGGCAAAGGTCACCCTGGCCCGGCTGGAGAAGCAGCTTCCGCCACGCCGCACGTGACCCACTGACTCCACCTGATGGTAGCGGGTGGAACTGGGCCCACAGGCAGCCACACGGATGAAGAGGGGGGGTGGCTACCTCCTGAGGTCCATCCAGAGCTGACCCCAGTCCTGGGTGCCCCACCCAGCTCTGCCCCCCAGGTCCATCCTGCACCCCTCCTACCCGCCGTTACTGCAGCCCTGGACTGAGCCGACACCCAGAGCCGGGCTGGGCAAAGCCGGGCAGTGGTAGCAAGGCTCTCACAGACACATGCAGCCAGCTCCCCCAACAGAGCTCACCCTTCGAGATGCCCACCTGGCCTGGCAGCGGGGCCCACCGGGGGACACCGAGCTCCCCACACCCATGGGCCAGGACACCCCTCTGGGGGCATGAAGCAGGTGTGCCCTCACCATGCCCACTCCACACGTTCAGGCAGCCTCCCCCACACTCTCAATCAGACCCAGCCCGACAGGGGCACCGTGAGGGGGCAGGTCTCCGGGATGGTTCATTCAGCCTCTCGCCCCCCACTAGCCTATTGGCTATTTTTAACACTGATCTATTTTTTGCACTGGGCCCCCGCTGTCAATTACGCTCCTGTTCCCATGACAACCGAGGGGAACCCAGAGACATCAGCTGCCAGAACCTGTGGGAATTTCACCTTTGCCACCTACTGGCTGGGCCCCTGGGGGCGGTTTGGACCCCCCCCCCCCGGAGTGTGCTCGGGGGAGGGGCAGGGGGTTGGGATGCCCAACAAGTCGACATTTCCCCCACCACCACCCTCCAGCTCTGCCAGCAACCCTCACTCCTGACCCATAGCCCCGGGCTCCCCCCCCAGCTCTACCAATGAACCTCAGTCCTGATCTGCAGCCCACCCTGCTATGCCCCTCTTGGCCAGGCCCTTCAAGGGCTGCACAGGCTGCAAACTGCTGCCCTGTGCATGGAAGCATGGAAGGGAGAGCGTGGCTGGAGCAGGGGAAGAGACGAGAGTGAATCGACGGGGGGAGCTGACAGTGAAAGTCGCAGAAGGAGGGGAGATGAGGCAGGTGCATGCAGGGCCCAGCCTGGGCGACGAAGTGCCACCTGCCTGTGCCTGCAGACAGCTCGGCGCGATGGGCACCGCCACCAGCCCACCCCAGGGGCACTGACTCTGAAACCTACTGATGGCAGGTACCCAAGCAACCCGCTGGCGCGCTCAGGCCCAAGTGGGAGGAGCTTGCATCTTGGGCGGAGCTTGGGAGAGTCCATCCCCTTGTTCTTTTCCAAGCTGACCCTTGGTGCAGAGCTGCTGCCCAGCAAGGGGGAAGTGATGGCAGGAAATCAGCCCGGGTCCAGCCCCGCACAGCCCCTGCCCCAGTGGGAATGGGCAGCCCAGAGAGCCCATGCTGACCCTAGCCAGGATGCTGCACTCAAAGGGCAACTCCCCCCACACCCCCATCACACCCCTATCCGCTGCTGGGCTGTGACAGCACATCTGAGGTGTGAGCTCAGGGACCCCCAATCTGCCCCCCAACACACACGTGCTCTGGGGTTCTGCCCCCAGCTCTGGGAGGGGAGTGGGGTCTGGTAGGTAGAGCAGGGGGCTGAGAGCCAGGACTCCTGGGTTCCAATCCTGTCACCGATGCTTTTCCCTGAGTTTGCAGGGGCAGGGGATTCTGAGGCTGAATGTCTGTAATGCGCCTTCATGTGCTCAGATGCCATGGCAGGACAGAGCACCATGGTGCCATCACCTCTGCTCACAGACTGGGGGCGTCAGGACTGGGGAGCCGGCCTGTCCCCGCCACTCCAGGGGCCAGTGCAGGATCCTCCCTACAGTCTATTTTCCGGGGCTCTGATCACCTACTGGGCAGGGGCCCCTCCATGCCCCACACACGGACCCATTCCAGCATCTCCTCTCCCTCCGCGTAGCCCTGGTCACCCTAGGGAGGGTGGAGGCTGCAGGGCTGGGACATTCGGCCCCCCAGACCCAGAGATAGCA